CATACCCTCGCGAACACGATGACTTACTCAGCTTAGCCTACGCGAACGTGTTTTCCTCAGTCGCGAACGGGATGCTCAATCAGACTCAAACTTCGCGAATGCGGGACCAACATCGCGAACGCGAAGGGTAACTGGCATGCCTCACTCAACACCTCTTCGCGAACGCGAGAGCCCTCTCGCGAACGCGAAGAGCAAAACTCTGCAACAGTGATCTGAAAAAATCTGCAACTTTTAAAACAAGAATTTGATCCGTTTAACCACCTGAAACTCACCCGAGGCCCTCGAGACCTCAACCAAACATGCCAACATATCCCATAACCTCATTCAAACTTGTTCCGACCTTCGAAACGCTCAAAACAATATCAAAACCCCAAAATCACATCGGATTCAAGCCGAAGAATTCCAAGAACTTCCAAATTCCGCTTTCGATCAAAAAGTCTACCAAACCTTGTTCGAATGACTTGAAATTTTGCACACACGCCACAAATGACACAACGGACCTACTTCAACTTCCGGAATTCCATTCCGACCCCTATATCAAAATCTCACCTATCAACCAGAAAACGCCAAAATTCCAGTTTCGCCAATTCAGGCCTAACTCTAATCCGGAACTTCAAAACCCATTCCGGCCACTCTCTTAAGTCCCAAATCACCTAACGGAGCTAACCAAATCATAAAAGTTCCAATCTGAGGTCATCTACTAACAAGTCAAATATTGGTCAAACCTTTCAAATTTTAAGCTTCAAACTGAGAATTGTTCTCAAAATTCATTCCGGTTAACCTGAAAATCAAAACCAACGATTTACATAAGTCATAATACACCACTCAGGACTAGTCTTGCCCGAGAAGTGGTAAGCAAAATGCAAAAGCTCAAAACGACTGGTCGGGTCGTTACATCCTCCCCACGTAAACATATGTTCGTCCTCGAACGTGCCCAGAGTTGTTCCGAAACCCATCAAATTGTTGTGTAACCTTACCATGCACATACCCGGGGGTGATCCCATGTCACACTATCTCATATAGGTCCGATAACACAATGTAACTGAAATTTCGCAATCCAACCTAGCTCATAAATCTTAGAACCACATTTCCACTTCTGAAATCATCTACAAGATCAGAATCTCACATGTATACTCTGAATAAGCCCGAACCAGTTGTAACAAACCGTACTTGCAGCCTCATATGCAATTACATGATATACCACATAGCTCAAACTCTCGTAGCGATAACTTCTGATCACAACAGTTGCTCAGAACAACCGAATATCGATAATAAACCTCTTATCAAATAAAGCCTCATTCCAACACTTTCGTATACTGCCAATGATAAATGAAACACGTAGAAATTCATAACCATTCCTCAGATCAACCATTCGTGTAGCCACTTCTCCTTTGGCAAGGACCATAGCAAACTGCTGAGCCAAACATCTATATTATCCTTCGAACACGCTGAAACCGAATCCATTTGTATTCATTCTACATCCCAATGGTCTCATCTAATCCAACACAACTACTCTGGTGACATGACACATCAATACAATATAAAGCCATAACTCGTGCAATCCGCGCACCAATAAGCAACAATTCGAACGTACTCAAATCATGAAAAATGACTCAAATGAGAGAGTTGTGCTGCAAGCTCACCAGTACTACCACACACAATGCTGAGAACCCGTCACACAATGTAGAAACAGAACACACGAATCTAACCCGAAGGGTCATACCTCCACATAACTTCGCTGCAATACGCGACCCTATCCAAACACTGGTCCACATAAAACACATCCAGTCGCTATGCTCAAACCGACAACCACGCGCAATTAGATGTCTAGAACCAAAGCAAATAATCATAACCACTGCGAAGCAGTTGACATAACATTACACAAACCCGAAAGGACACAACCAATATGCCATCCGCCGAGTAATACCCAATACTCCTCCCGCTCAAATTCCACTGAGAGACCCCAAATAAAACCGTACCACATGTGTCTATGACCAACATTTCCCAATACCTCGCAACACGGAAATGTAACTCATAGATCTCCCCAGGTCACTAATAAGCTCAATAACAATTGAATCGACACATCCCTCAACAATACAACTCGGAGTCAACAAAGCCGACTCGATGCTGAACACACACCCATATAGGTCTACCATTGAACCCCTTATCAAGGAGTCCCTGAAGTCGTTCCTTCAACTCCTTTAACTCCGCCGGTGCCATACGTTACGGTGCCCGACACCAAATCAATACCAAAATCAACAACCCCGTCCGGCGACATGCGCGGCAGCAGGAAACACATCCGGGAAACCCCTCATTACCGGAACTGAATCAATGGTAGGAGTCTCTGCACTGACATCCACCACAAAGGCCAAATAAGAAAGACAACTCTTCCCAACCGTCAACTGGGTCTTCAACAATCAAATCACCCTACTGAAAACATAACCCGTCGAACCTCGCCACTCCATCCGTGGCATCCGCGGCATAGCCAACGTCGCCGTCTTGGCGCAATAGCCCAAAATACACGACATGGAGGCAACCAGTCTATACCCAATATAACATCAAAATCTAACATACCAAGCCACAAAGGATCCACTCGGGTCTCAAGACCTCCGATAGTTACCACGCAAGATCGATATACGCGGTCCACAACCACGACCTACCATGTTTATGAGAATTCCCAGTCTCCAAATCCATACAGCACGCGAATCACCACATCTGATCCCAACTCCACCGTCAGAATATATAACACACCTCTAATACCCAATCATTCCACGAGATCAGGAGACATAAGTTTTGATTAACCACAATGGTCTAAGACATGAAATAGAATCAGGAGATATAAGTTTTACCACATTCTCTTGTGGGAGGACATTCTCCCCTTATGTTTCTGGAATTACTTTTGAAAGATAAGTTATGGCATGTAATATTTATAGTGTCACTGATAACTCGCCATCAAGGCAAGGGTCCTCTCTCTCTCTCTCTCTCTCTCTCTCTCTCTCTCTCTCTCTCTCTCTCTCTCTCTCTCTCTCTCTCTCTCTCTCTCTCTATAT